GTTTCTGAAGGCTGAGTTGACAGAAGGTCTTTGGTTAGTTCTATAACTTCCTAAAAGAGAAAAACAAAAACCACAGCATTATTTTTTAATTCACACTGTCAACTTTTAGTTTTGATTAATGACAGCTATTATACCATTTATCAACTACTATTTCATGTATAGCTCATAGCACTATTAGGAGAGTACTATGATTATCTCCAAGTAGAACTGAGATACAATCTTTTACACTAGAAAGCAGTGGAGCTGTAGAAGCCTATACAGATATCCTCAACCACAAAATATGAATGGACACAGGATAGACTTAAGCTTATACCATGCATTACTTCTAACTGCCTGTTTTCTCTAAACATAAAAAAAATGAAGGGAATGAATTATAAGATCTTTTTTTACAATGTCATCTATTTCAAGCCGCTGTACTGTTTTACAAGGCATTATTCAGCACCAGTACTGACTGTCTAGCCAACAACCTCTCACAAATCCCCAAACACTTGATACACCCTTATTAATAAGCAAAATGTTCCTACGTTATATATTATCTCTACTCAAATACTATAGACAAACATAAAAAAGCAGTAGTCTTCCTACTCATTAACTATAAACCTTACCTAAACTATAAGCAAATTAGCATTAGACTTAAAATATTCTACACCTTAGTATTTATTAGGCACATTAGCACAGCTTCATTTGAAAGGAAAAAATAATAAAAGTAACAGGCAGGCAATGCCTTTCTGTGTGGCAAATATCTTTTCTAACTCAGGGTTATATTTGTCTGTTAGATTCAAGTCTTAGCATCAGTTTAAAAACTTGGGAAGCAGTACAAATTGATAGTATTCTGTTACCTATTTGCTTGCTTTTACTCTACTGAAAATCTATACTATTTATATCTGACTTAAGAATTTGCATAAATGTTCCCCTACAATGCTGAATTTAAAATAGACTTGTGTGTATGGGAGAAAAACTGGAGAAATTAAACTCAGTTTCTTTTGGCTCTCACTGAGGTTTCGTAACAGCAGTTCTGGTTCATTAGCCAAGAAAGTTAAAGATTACCTCTCTCCTGAAGATTCTAAATCTAAAAACTAATATTTTGGTTTAAAAAGAAAAAAGGGGGGAATAGTAAACCACTGGAGAAAAGCTAGCTGCATGGATTAAAAACTAGAAGACTCAGATTTGAGTTCAAAAGTTCAGAATACTATCTCTAAATTTTGCCAAGCAGCCATTCAAATTTTTCCTGCAGCACCGAAGGTAGGACATGACAGTGTTTTTGAAGTGCTGACGTTGCAAACCAGCCTCGGCAAGCTTGGCAAGCACTCTACCAGAGTCACACTCCAGCCCTCAAATACTTGTCAATCAGTATTTCGCAAAACAAGCAAAGAAGTCCAGATAATGTTGTAAATGGTAGAAATTATCTAGTTTTGTCTTATTAACCACTTTCAGAACTCAGGATGTAATCTAGTGAGACTGACTCAAGCCCCCACAAAATGCCTTCAGTAAATACTTCCACATCCTACTAAGGATCATTTAACTAATAAAGCACATGCACAAATCTCAGGTTTGTGGTCTGATTTAGAACTCCTTTCCTTTTAAGAAAGGGTATTTTTCTTACTGTCTACATAAGGGAAAGTATTTTCACCAAAGAGAAGGGTCCTGAAAAGCTGTGCATATTACAAAGAATTTTCAGAGTCCTAAGCTGAAATGACCCTTTTCATAAAAAACAAGCTCCAGAGCATTTTCCTAATGCCTTATAATTCTGCCATGGTTTTATACACCCCTCCCACAAAACTATGAAGAACCTGTAATTTTTTTCTTTACATGTGCACATGGACCAAAGTATCAGAGAAGCTACTTTACGTATGAGGGGGTTCTTAAAGGTACATACCATTAATTACTTTTCCTCCCCCAAGTCTGAGTTCTGAAACTGCTCCTTCACTGACAGATGGGCAGCAGTTACAGTAATCGCCAATTCCAGGAAGCATCAGGTGTTGTGATCTACATATCAGCAGGTCAAAGGGGGTGCACTCAAGCACTCTGCTTACTGAAGGAAGGCGTTTCGGGGATGCAGAGAGCCACTGTAATATATGAGACAAGTGACTTGACCCCTGCCTCCTTTAGAACCAGTTTATTTAGCAAAACAGCCTAATAAATTGACCATCTTTTTTATTATCATAGACTGTCTGGGGATTAGCTAGCCTGGATTTTACTTCCCATATTGTTTAAGGGGGGGGGGAGGCAGGGCTTCATTAGATGAATATGCTGCCTTCTGCATAACTATTCTATACGAAAGACAGTATATAAAAACAGTAAATGCAGAAACCGAACTAGAAAAAAAAAAGAGAAACCTTACTTGAAAAACAGAAGCCATTGGAGAAAAGGACATATTATAATCAAAAGACAAATATATTAATAACCAGGGTAAGGACAGATTCCATAAGAGGAACATAAAATAAAAAAACCACATAGTGGGCCAAAAATATGAAATTAGGAAGCAGCTGAGATTTCTCAGCAAAATTAACAAACAAAATTAAAGGCCAATGGCACAAGATATGTCCCAGAAAGAAGAAAAATCAGGGGACAGGAACACAAAGCAAAATGTATTCTGTACCTGTAGTCTCGACAGAGATTGTTACTAGGTGGAATCATATACCTAAATGATTTTCAGACTTTCATCTAATCTTTAAAAAATGCTTTCCATCTTCGAGTTTTCAGTTTAAAACAGACCTATATCTATAACCAAATTCAAAATTTTCCTCTCATGACAGAGTTAGAGATAAACTAATCAAACATTCTGTATTATCAATCTCTGCAGTATTAGCACTTAAGCTTTCTGAGTCTGTATCCTAATATGTATCCACATATTAGCTATTTAGTTCATAATAATTATTAGTAGCTATTTAATTCAATAAAATTAAAAATTTAGCTCCTCACTTATCCTAGCTAACTTCAAATAGCCACATATACTTAGTGACCATGGTACTGAATAGAAGAGAACATTTCCATCATTACAGAAAGTTCCACTGGACAGCGCTATTCTAAATCGTTAAAGGGGATATTGATTTATAGATGAGTCTCAGGTTATTAACTAAACCCTAGGACCTTGTAGGTACTACTGTACAAGAGTTTTTTCCTGTACCATTCTCCACTACAGATCATATTAAGGCTCCATGACTTAAGACTATTTATTCTAGAAATAGTATAATTACTTGACAATAATGCTATTTCAAACTCCACCCTCAACTCCCCCTCCACCAGTTCCATATTTAATTGTCCCTTCCACTGTTAAGAAAGCAATATAGGGTATCAAATATGAAGAAAACATTGAATGCCAATGTTTCTTCAAAGAAAAAAAAAGGGCTGCATTAAAGCTGAGATATGGGCCATCTCTCTTAAGGCAAAAAGGAAGCCGGTACTCCAAAGAAGTGTTTCCTTTGCCACTTCATCATTAGTACATATTCATTGAATATGTGAGCAGATCAAATGAATGGAAGAGTAAACCATCAAGTGTTCTTTACAAAAGGACTCAGCCCGGAGAATTTGTCCTCAAAACACCCTTATTTCTCTTACTGACTGGCACACTGAAATCCATAGCCTGGCTTCTGCATAATGAAAAAGGGATCCTATTCAATTCTCAGAGCTTTTAAACATAACATACTGCTGTAAATGTATCGTAAACCTAGAATTTGGAAATTCTCAACTTAATTTTAATAATGCTCAGCTCAGATAAACTCTTTCAAAATCCCAACTATAGACCTCACTTGTGTTGTTTGCTTGCAGTTGTAATAGTCCTAAAACCTCACAGTTTTAAAGGGCAACAGGATGATAAAGGGAAATATTATGTGGATAAGATAAAGAATCAGGAGAGACATCATCAAAATACCCTGGAAACTTAAAACTCTGGTTCAGAATTTTAAATTCTCAACATGAAAAATCATATATATGTAGTATTCACAAATTATGGAAGGTGTTATTTTTAACTCCCATCCTGAAAACCACAGATACTTACACTCATAGTTTTACATTTGTCTCGAAACCCCAACACCAAGTAAGATTTATTTATTTTTTACCAATTAAGTTTTATACTTACTCAAATCTCCATGACAAAATATCTGTTTTAGCACATCAACTCAACTTCAGCAAGGGCCAAAATTTGCACTGTAAAAATTTGATCTTAACTTCAAATAACTATATAACATTACTACAGAAAACATGCTTCTCTAGACATTTTTGTTTTGTATTTTTAATACAAGGTGTAACCCACTAGTTGTTAACAGAAAAGCCACACTTTAAACAATCTTAATCAGTTTATATTTTTCCCTTTTAATCTTTAAGTTAATTTCCCTTGCCAACTCTTGAAAAATAAAAGCATGTTCCATTATAAAGTTTCTTCTCTTGAAATTTTGAGACTTTCAAAATCAACCCAGTTTTTAAAAAAATCCCAGGAGTACACAGGTTTTTATAATCACAATGCTTCATTCATTTTGCCATAAACAAATTAAGGAAAGAACTCTTTCTCTACAAGCCCAAGTGTTTATATACACATATGGGGGGCAGCGCATCCTCCTACAAGTGTACTTTGAGTACCATTTTAAACAATAAATCATGTGAAAAACATAACACTCTTTTTAAGCAATGCTAGCTGCAACTGTCCACCCACACTTACTTGTAAATCTTTCTTCAATTTTAGCAAATCTTCATTTTCTCCATTTCCAGATAATGCAGCTTCTACTTGCTGGAGTTGAGCTTTGTAGCTTGCCAGCTGTTTTGCTAGATCCTCTGACATCTGGGGAAAATGTAACAGCACTGAGTATCAAACCATAAAAATTATTTTCCTAATCTGTCTGAATTCACAAGTTTTGCACCTGTCTTACTAACATTGAAGCTTAATCTGCCATTCCTTGTACTTTTACTTCAGACCTGAGCTAATCCACAAACGTCAAGGCAACAGATTCTGCAAGTCACAAATATGTCTGTGACAAATTCAATATAGAAAGATAAAAAATGGTTAAGAGGTAAAGGAGAAGTTTTAGTTTTAGTTCATTATAGGCAACGCAGTGTTTGGCTCCATGATCAGTTTATTACATGTTGTTTAAATAGCACTAGTCTGTTAGGAGTCTCAAAACTTCGAGGGGAAAAAAACCCTTAATTTTTAAGCATGACGGAATATGTTCAAAGCGAAATAAAAACGTTTTTTAGTTAACTACACAAATACCATCCCTCACTTGAATTTATTATTCAGCTGAGTACACGTAGCTCTCCAGAACAGAAATCCTCCACCCAGCCTCTGAAATGTCCAGCTACTGATGTATTTTTAAGCAACACCACCATATAATCTCGCATGCAGAAACACCCTAAAAAACGTGTCTTTCGCCAGATGCCGTTCGTAACCCTGAAAAGGAGCTACGCATTAACACTCCCTGATAATCAGTGAGCAAAACCACACGCGACTTCCTAGGGCTTCCGCAAAATTCCCGTCCAGGGAGCCTGGAATCCGGAAGGATTCCCCACGCCGCCCTCCGCCGGCCGCCCAACACCTCCGAGCCCGCCACAGCCTGCCGATCCTCAGACCGCGACGCGGGCATCCCCGCCCACGGACCCCCGGCCGACCCTGCCCGAGCTCTGGGCGGGACGCACCCCGACGGTGGCTCCGGGACGGCCGTGATCGCCGCCGCGGCCCGGCGTGGAGGAGCGGCGGCCTCCGAACCCACCGCCCGCGCTCACACCCGCCCTGCGCGGCTGGCGCCCGGCCCCGGCCTCCGCGTCCACCCGGGAGCGACCGAGGCCCGGCGAGGCCTGCCTCTCCCTCACCGAGTTTGTTACCTTGTGTGGGACCAGGGGTGGGGCGGCGGGAAGGGGTCGGGCAGATGGGCCCAGGGGCGGCGGCGGTAGCAGAAGCGGCAACAGTAGGGGGAAAAAAAAATTCTCCTGTGAAGGCGATTCAGTCCCAAAAGGAAGAACTCCGTCGGCAGTGAGGGGGAGGGGAGGAAAGCCAGGCGACGGAAAGAGGAAAAGACAAGGCAAGCAAAGTATCGCGAGACACAAGTTAACGCGAGATGCTCCTTGGGTTACGTGATTCGCAGCGCCCTTTGCCTTGCGTCTGCAGCGCCAAGTGGGCGGGGCCAGGCGGGGAGGAAGTGGCGTAGCGGGCGGCGCCCGCGGGAGTACGGGTTCTTGGAGCCTGAGTTCCGGCTTGGAACCGGAGCGTCAGGGTGGTTGTGGGGGGTTGGCGGGGTGGCCCGCGCAGTGCTCCCGTGTGAGCTGGTGGGAGGAGCAAGATGCGACGCGGCCCTTATGCTAATGAATTTCAAAGTGTAGCCCGCGAGTCGGCCCCGCTTGCGTCTCCTGGGAGGTCAGGGGCACGGTGTATTGAGTCTCCCTGAGCGGCCGGATCCAGAAGTTCTGTGGGTGGGCCCCGCGGTGTGTTTCTGCAAGCCTTTTGGTCGGTTCCGGCCACGAACTAGGTAGAGGAAAAACCTTAGTAACAAAACTGGGCGGCAAAACTCGGCGAACAGTTTCCAATTTAATAGTCTGGAAGGATGAGCGGAGTGTTGCATTTATGTTCAAATATGCACCTGGCGTAATAGCGTATGTAATAGTACCGTATGTTTGCGTTTTGTAGGATGCCTTGAGCTGTCCGGGTGTTTGCACGGGCGGTACTCCTCCCTCGCCCTCCTCTTTCCCTGCCACCGTGTTTATCAGTTTATTTCAATCTTTAAAAAACAGATAAAGAGGGCCGGCCAAATAGCTCAGCGGATTAAAGCGGCCGCAAGCAGGAGTAGGGGCCAGGGATTGGATCCATGAGACAGCAATTAAGACTGAGTATGGTGGTGCGCTCCTGTAATCCCAGCTCTGGGGAGCCTGTAAACGGGCAGATCACTACGAGTCCAATCTAGTAGTGAGACCCTGAATGTTATGGGTCAGCTCTGCATAGGAACCAGATCAGCCAGATAGAAATTTGAATAGAGCCTTTTATTTACGGAGCTCAGGTCGTAAGCCACTTCTCTCGCAGGAGAAGGCTGATTGGCCCAAAGGTAGGTAGCAAGGGGGTATTTATAACAGAAATCACATCCAGTTTGCTAAGCAAACTTGTTATCTAGTACAGAACAACAGAAACTGCATTCATTTGACACAGCTGCAAACTTCATAACTAAAAGGTCTTTTACAGCTTAGTGATAAGTGTATATTTTTACAAGATACATCTTAAGCTACAGTTACAGGAGATGGTTGGGGAGGGAGTTTGTGTTAGCTTGCTGCCTTGACAAGAAACAGTTATTTATTGTTGAACAGCCTTGAGCCGAAAGGGAGAACACATTTCTTAGAGCAGATAACAGGAAGCACAAGGGGTTTTTATAATTTTCTACAATTAAGGCACAAAACTCTATTAACCCTTTACACTGAACACCCTGTAGACCCTTCCCTAAACATACACACACACAAAGATCTGACACAAAAACGGGATGTTGGGAAGGAACCATCCTTGAACGACTGGGTTCGGTTACTGGACCCATAAGAGCTCAGATGGAACCGTGGGAACATCTTCAGATCCTTGCTCCCTCTTGAAGGAGCCCTCTTCCTCTCCACGCACCCACATGTAATCAGAATAGTGAGTCAGGTAACCTGTGCGCAAGAAGCAAGGGAATCGAAGTTGGGTTGGTAGGTGTGACTGCAGAGGAAAGCAACTTGGAAAAGCGGAAAATGCCGCGGAGGGCACCAGTGTACAGCTACTATTAAAGAAAGCCAAAGCCGGATATACCTTTTCTTGGATTGAGATTTGTTTAAAAGCATCGTTTTTGGCACATGGTTCTTGTCCTAATTGTATATTTTAAGAACTGCCTCAAATCAACAACTTTTGACATTGCCAGTCCTATGGAAAACCCACTAGTATTATGGACTATTGAACTATATTGGATTATTTTGCTGAATTCACGCACCTACAATATTTAAATGGCAACAGAATACCCATCTCTGACAAAACGAAAAAAAAAGTGGGGAGGTATAAATGAAGGACCATTTTGTACCTGTAAATACAAAATAGTTAAGATATACAGCTACAATCTCTTAATTCAATGAGAAGAAAGATTTATACTAATAGTGTTTGGACAGGATATCATGTCTGCATCTTGTACATGAATAACTCCTATGAAGACGACAATATGCAATGTATTAATCATTGTAAATATCTTACTAACCTGTTTTGATACTGTCTCATTGCTATTTGTTTCTCAATAAAATTAATTTTAAAAAACTGTGAAGTTTTCACTTGCAGTCATGTAAAATAGCTCTCAAATGAGGATTTTTTTCTCAATCTCCTAAAATAGAAAATAGGAAAATACTTGTTACATGTTCCAGCATAGATTAATAGGCCATCTTGGTAGTTTTATTTTCAAGATTGTTTTTAAGCTTTCCATCTAGGTAACAGATTTATAGAGAAAAGCTAATCTGGGGCGATAACTCAGTGGTCTAAGCACCTGCCTGGCAAGCACAAGGACCCAGGTTTGATCCTCTGTACCCCATGGTGTGGGGGCTCTGGAACCGGGTGTGGTGGTGAGTGTCTGTAATCCTAGTGCTGTGGAGACTGAGATAGGAGGATCATTATAAGTCTGAGCTGTGTAGCAAGACCCTGTACCAAATAAAAACAATTTAAAAAGCTGTATTGAATTTTAATTATCATAAAGAGATGATTACATTTGTATGTACCAGACAGCCTCTGAATACACGTATTTTCTTAATAATGTGGTGGTAGACAAAACTGGAGCAAGTGTAAGCTTTGACTAAGAGTGGTGTTTGAAATAGGCTTTCTTTTTTTGTATATTTTTTTATTGAGAAATATGAATGAGACAGTTTCACAGCTGATTAACAGGACAGTTTTAATAATCAATACACTGTACATTGTTATCTTCTTAGTGGTTATCCATAGTACAAGAAGCA